CTAAACTGTGGAGCCAACCTAGATGTCCTTCAGTGGATGAATGGATTAAAAAAATATGGCATTTATACACGATGGAATATTACTCTGCACTAAAAAATAATAAGATCATGGCATTTGCAGGGAAATGGATGGCATTAGAACAGATTATGCTAAGTGAAGTTAGCCAATCCCAAAAAAACAAATGCCGAATGTCTTCTCTGATATAAGGGGGGTGACTCAAAATGGGGTTGGGAGGGAGTGCAAGGGAGGAAGATTACCTCTAGATAGGGAATAGGAGTGGGAGGGAAAGGGAGAGAGAAGGGGAATAGCATGGATAATGAAAGGAGACCCTCATCATTATACAAACTTCATGTATGAAGATGTGAATTTGGGGTCAACATACCTTATATACAAACAGAGATTTGATAAATTGTGGGATAAGGGTGTATTAAGAATTGCAATGCAAACAATTATGAATGTAATGCACTCCTCTAATGTGATGTATGTAAGAAATAATAAATAAATAAGTTTTTTAAAAATGAGGAAACGATTCCTGAATGACGTGGGAGAACGGAAATGAAAGCAGAATAAGGAAGCTTTGTGCCTATTACAGTTGTGTCTTTTCTTAGACTTAATGTCACTGTCTTTTAGCTTCATGCACCCTGAAAATCAGCTGCTTCAAGTTTCTGAGTAACTATCTTACTTAAACTTAAAAGAAAATGACTCTGAATTTTAGATTTGATTACTGATGCTAGTTTCAATCTTTATTAATCTACACAAGTGTGCTGGGAACTTAACAGCTTACTTAGTAAATTACTAACTTTTCTCCCAAGAAATACACAAAGGTGAGGTGAAGACAATAGACTGAGGAGAAAAGGGGACTGGGGATACTTTTAACATAAAGTTAAAATACTTTTAACATGAAGTTAACTGAGTTGGGGGGAGCCTTCTCAATAAACTTTTTAAAAAATATATATTTATTTTAGTTGTAAATAAACCTTTATTTTATCTATATGTGGTGCTGAGACTTGAACCCATGGTCTCACACATGCTAGGCAAGAGCTCTACCACTGAGCCACAACCTCAGCCCCTCAGTAAACTTTTGTTGATTTTTTCCCCCCAAAGGAATTAAAAGTTTATTTCAGTTCACAGTTTCAAAGGTTCAGTCCATGGTTAGCCAACACTGTAGCTTCGAGTCTGAGGTGAGGCAGAACATCATGGCCAAAGGGTATGGTGGAAGAAAGCAGCTTGGGACACCACAGCCAGGATGCAGAGAGAAAGAGTCTTTTGTATTCCTAAGTTCCCAACGTGTCTCACTGATACAGTTGAGTAGTTCATAGAAAGCGCATTTCCCGGTCTGCGCCCATCTCTGGCATAGCCCTAGAGAAGAGATAGGTTCTTTGTCTATTAGAAGGACCTAGGAACCATGGTGAATGGTCAAGAAGATTCCCCACAGAGGGTAAATGTGGAGGTTCCTGGCTCGTCGAAGAACTTACTCTGTTTCCAGGGAGGGATTCTTCCATATTCTTGCCCAGCAGGATAGAATATGTGATATGAAACAAGAATAATCATGTGCTCTTTTCCATCCATTCTCCCTTGTTTAGAATCACAGTTTTCAGGACTGGGGTTGTGGCTTAGCGCACTTGCCTGGCACATATGAGGCTCTGGGTTCCAGCTTCAGCACCACATAAAAATAAAGGCATTGTGCCCAACTACAATCTGGACTATAAGAGAAGATAAGAATCACAACCAAACAACAATTAAGCAATATTTAATTCAGAATCATATAGCTGGATTAAAAAAAAAAGCTTTGAATAGTTACTAGACTTTCTCTTATTTTGCAAATGTGATAAAAACACATAAAATTTACCATTAACCATTTTTCAGTGTAAAATTCGGTGGTACCAGGCACACTCACAATGTTGTTTAAAATTTTGAGTAGTATTGTTTCCAGAATATTGTGTAAGCCTATTTTTAGAGTAACTTTATCTTCACAGCAAAATTGTATAGAATTCCAGTATATTCCTTGCAGCACACATCCAACACTCTCCTATGTCATAACCTTTTTTTTTTTTTATCATCCCCAATAGAAACAAACTCTACCCATTAAGTGATAACTCCCCAATCCCACCCCTTCTCAGTCCCCGGTGTCCTCTGTTCTACTCCCTGTCTCTATGAATTTGCCGATATTAAATGCCTCATGTGGGTGTAACCACATATTTGTCTTTTTGTATCTGGCTTATTTCACTTATGTTTTCAAAATTTATCCATGTGATGGGATGTATCAGAATTTTTTTTTTACAGAAAAATAAAGAAATGTTTATCCATGCATCTGTTGATTGACATTGGATTTTTTTCCACTTTTTGGTTATTATATAAAATTCTAAAAACACTTTTATTTAAGAATCTGCCTGGATTCTTACTTTTGATTTTTTTTGGATTTATATCTACAAGTGCAATTTCTGGATCATATGGTAATTCTATGTATAACTTTTTGAGGAACCAACAAACTTTTCCAAAGCAGCTTCATCATTTTACATTCCCACTTGACAGGGTTCAGGAATTCCAAATTTTCTCTATATCCTCACCAGTACATTTTATATTCTGTTTTTTACTTCATTTTTGTAATCCTAATTGGTATGAAGTGGTACCTCACTGTAGTTTTTTGTTTGGTACTGGGGATTAAACCCTGGGGTGCTTAATCACTGAGCCACATCCCCAGCCATATATATAATATAAATTATATATACATAATAATATATATTGTTATATATATAGTATTGCCTAGCATGCACTCAGGGCCTTGTGCATGCTAGGCAAGCATTCTGCCAACTGAACTATATCCCCAGCCCCTACTTAAGGTTTTTTTTTTAACCATTTTGAATTAATTTTTAATGTATGGAGTTAGGTATATTATAAATAATATATATTGTTATTATTATTAAAGATAAGATCTCACTGAGTTGCTAAGTGCCTTGCTAAGTTGCTAAGACTGGCTTTGAACTCATGCTCCTCCTGACTCAGCCTCCCGAGCCATGCTAGGCAAGCTCTCTGCTACTGAGTTCCCCAGCTCCTACCTTTAGTGGGTATTCTTTATTGGGGGTGGGAGGTACTTGGGATTGAACCCAGGGGCACTTTACCACTGATCTACATCCTCAGCTCTTTTAATTTTTTTTTTTTTTTTGAGACAACTCACTAAGTTGCCAAGACTGGCCTCAAACTTGTGATCCTCCTGTCTCAGCCTCCCAAGTCATTGAGATCACAGACATGTGTCACTGTACCTAGACCCTACTTTTTTTTTTCTGGTGGTGCTGGGGATTGAACTCAGGGCCTTGTGCTTGCTAGGCAAGCACTCTGCCAACTGAACTACATCCCAGCCCCTACTTAAGGTTTTTTTTTTTTTTTCCTTTTAACCATTTTGAATTAATTTCTATGTATGGGGTTAGGTAGTGTTCCAACCTCATTCTTTTGCATATGATTATTCAGTTGTTCCAATATGCATTATTGAGAAGACTATTCTTTCCCCCATTGAATTGTCTTGTCACCCTATATCTACTGAACATAAATGTAAGGGTTTATTTCAATACTCTTTATTCTGTTCCACTGATGTATATGCCTATTCTTATGCCACTCTGTTGAAGGTACTGTTGGTCTGTATTAAGTGAAGTATGAGTCATCCAGTTTTGTTCTTTTTCAAGATTGTTTTGACTATTCTGGATCCCTTGAATATCCATATGAATTTTAGAGCCAGCTTGTCAATTTCTACAAAGAAACCAGCTAGGATTTTGAGAAGTATTTTGTTAAATCTGTAGATCAAGTTTACCATCTTAATAGTGTCTTCCAATCCATGAATATGGGGTTTCTTTCGATTTATTTAGGTTTTAGGGGTTTTTTTAAACAACATTTTATAGTTTTTAGAATGTACAGTTTTTATTTTTTTTTGGTCAAATTTGTTCCTAACTATGTTTGTTATTGTTTTTTTGATGCTATTGTAAATGAAGTTGGTTTCTTCTTAATTTCTTTTTGGTTGTTACTACTATACAGAAATAATTGATTTTTTATATGTTGATCTGCAAATATGTTGGACTCATTCTGTTAGTTCTAATAGTTTTTCAATTAATTCCTTAGACTTTTCTATAAATTTTTTCATACATAAAAGCACAGCACCTTTATCCAACCAAATCTATACTTAGAGAGCATCTCAGGAAACCAAGCTTTAAGGGTATTAAAACCCAGAAGTGAAGGACTAGGTTTCTGGAGCCCTTGACAAATTGAGCTTATAGTTACTATGAAGCCTTATAGTTACTATGAAGTAAGGAATTTCAATTTCCAGTTGGGAGCACATATAGACACACATATATAATCCTAGTGACTCAGGAGGCTGAAGCAGGTTTGAGGCTAGCCTCAGCAACTTAATGAGACCCTGTCTGAAAATAAAAAGGAAGGACTAAGACTGTCGCTCAGTGGTAAAGTGTCCCTGAATTCAATCCCCAGTACTGGAAAAAAAAATTTAAAAAGAAATTTCAATTCCCTCCTTTATTGACAGCAAAAGTTTAGGGTACCGAATCTCAGAAAGACTCAAGACATTTTTCAAGACTCAGGTATGGGTTTCACTTAATCTGGTTGTCCCACAGGTAGTATTAAATATTGAGATCTCCTCAGGTCCATTTTTTTTAATATTTATTTTTTAGAAGTAGTTGGACACAATAACTTTATTTTATTTATTTATTTTTATGTGGTGCTGAGGAGCAAACCCAGGGCCTCGCACATGCTAGTCGAGCATTCTACCACTGAGCCACAATCTCAGCTCTCCTCAGATCCATTTAGTCCCAGAAATTTAGTACAGTTCTTGGTGTGGAGTAACTACTCAATAAATGCTGGCTAAAGGAATGAACAAATAAATGAATTGGAATGAATTATGTGATAGTTTTTCCAATCAGACTGTGAATACATATTTTGGGAACATACTTTGGTCATATTTTTGTCTCTAGCACCTAGTACAATACCCATCACAAAATGAATGTGTTCTAAATTCTGTTTATTAAATTGTAGGCAAGAGATAAATACTTTATTCCAAAAATACAAGGAAGGAAAAAGAAAACATACTTTTTATATCATGTAAACTTATACCAAAGACTTGTGAATTGGAGTGGAAAACACAGAAATTTCTACCTTGAGGATATAAAAGAACTTGGGAACTGAGAAGTCAGATCACCTTAGTCCCCTATGGTGGTTAAAGCTAACTAGTCCCAGTGAATGAGAATCTAGCCTACCCAAAGATCACCAGCCTCTATCAGTACAGCATCAGCTCTAGACAACACAGTCAAGGCAGGCTGTGATCACATCTCACCTATGTACATTCCTCCAAGGAAATTCCTCCTGTGGCCCAAATAAAATGGCCTTGCATATAGAGAAAGAAAGTAGTAGGGTTGTCACTGAGTAGAATAATTAAACAGACAATCTCAGGGTCACCACATCTGCTTCAAGCGGTCCACCTACTCCCTTCCAAAATACATCATTATATTGCACCATCATAGAAGGAATGGAAGAAAAGGATGAGACTGTATGGTGGGAATCACATCTTGGGGAAGCTGGCCAGGTTGGCAATACCACAGGCGTTGTTCTTATTCCGAGCCATGAGAATGTAGCCTTTGTTTCCCCAGTTCTCTCCCCAGCTGTAAGATCAATCAAGAAAAATACTTATTACCATCAGTTTATTTATTCTTTAAGACACTTACTATATTGTGCTAGGTACTTGAAAACGTACAAAAATAAAAATGAGTAAGATGGTTTTTACCTTTAAAGATAAGTTTAAAGTAAGAAGTGGAGCGATAATGTTATCCATCCCAAAGGTAGACTAGATTACTTATGATCAAGAGGATGTAGAGAGTTTGATGTACGAAGTGGCATTTGAGACTGTGCTGAAAAGCTGGGTAGAATTTGGACCTGTGGGAATGGGTTGCCAGTGGAGGTGTGAAATTAACAATAGAGACAAGAAATGTGTTAGGATCAAGTGACTGAAAAACAAAGTGCCTGACAGAGTGTAGTGGGAGATAGGTCTGGAAAGGTAGTTGGAAATCAGGTTGAATTATCAACTGAAAGTTGAGTTAGATTTACTGAGACAAGAAAGACTGAGGCCAGTGATCTTGAACTGGGAGTAAATTCCAAAGATAAGATGGATGAAACTACAAGAGCAGACGAGATTACTGAGGAAAGGAGCTGGTTATTTGTGCTGCTTTATGTCATGGTTAGTTAAGTCAGTCTTTCTTTTTCAGTTGTGAGTAAATGTCACTGAAAGCAGACATTTACTCATTTGTACATGGGACTAAGCATCTTGCATATGGAGCAGGTAATCAACATATATTTTAGCACTACTGTCTCAATGTTAGCTTCAGAATTAAGAATCTCTGAGAAGGTAGAACTAAAGAACCTGAGATAATTTTCTATTGATTTGGGAGAAATAAAAAAATATCCAGAAGCTGGAGATTAGTTTGAGTATCATAAGGGTGATTTAATGATAGAGATAGTGTCCCCATCATTACCTGTTTTTAATTATCCAGTGCTTCTTTCCCTTCTGGATCCCGTATCCCACTGCCAAAACTGCATGGTTCAGATTATCACTATTGCAGCTTTCATCATAATACACACCTAGGAAACAAACTGCCAAGATGAGACTCTGCAATCCAAGAGTTGCCCAGTAGGGTCTCATTCTAGGAGATTCTAGGATTCTGTCCCAATTAAGAAGGTTTACAACAGAGATGGCTTTACATTGTGACAGCTGTCAGTTTTTCTCTAGTAGACTGAGTCTGGATATGAAAACTTAAGTATTGAAAATGCTCAGGATCCTTTAAGAAGTCACCAAGCCCATCATAAAAGAGTGTTCTATAGGCGCTGCTTCTTACCTTTGCTGTAAAATTGGAAGGAGGTCAGGCTTGCATCAATGGCCACAGAAATAGGTCCCACTCGGGCCACTGCTCTCTTCAGAGCTTTCTCATTCCCTGCAGGGATCTCTCTGTACCCTTTGCATTTAGCTGCCTTGCCTGTTGGGTTGTACATACAGTTTTCCTCCTGGAAAGAAACAGTTTGTAATAGGACTAGGACCAAGCATTAGGGAATGAGTTGGGGAGTGAGAAACTTAACCAGTGTTCTGAGTAATGTCAATGAACTAAGAAGGGCAGCAGACTAGAATCTCTAGGTCTGTTCCTCTTTACCATTTTAGAAAGCTATGAAAACTGGATTGCTACCTTCTGCCACTCATAAACATCACCTCTAGGTTGTTTAAAGACATAAGGAAAAACTATAGAACTTAAGAAAGAGAGACTGTTTTTATTATACCAGGGTATGAAAAGATTTCTGAAATAAGATAATGATGATAATTTGGAGATATGGGAATTGAACCCAGTGCCACTCTAGCACTGAGCTACATCCCCAGTTCTTTTGAGTTTGAGGCAGGGTCTCACTATGTTGCCCTGGCTGGCCTTGAACTTGAGATCCTCCTGCTTAGTCTCTTGAGTATCTGGAATTACAGGTGTGCACCTACCATGCCCAGCTCGAAATAAGATTTATTTTTTATAAAGCACAAATCATCTTTTGGCTGTGTAGTATGTGTGAGCCTCAGAGTACAGGAGGTACCAGATGCTCTGTGGGGAAAAGGCCAAGGCCAAAGCTCAGTTAGAAGGAGGACTTGGGACCTCTGAATCTGTATCAGGGAACCTAGTGCGAAGCAGAATTTTGGCTGGACCTTTGTGCAAATATTTAAAAAGTATATAACACAGTACTAAAATAGATTAATAGCAGCAATTTAGTTTATGACCTCCCAACACCATATTTTGCAAATCTAATTAGGAATGTTTTTTTAATATATATATTTTTTTAGTTGTCAATGGGCCTTTATTTTTATTTATTTATTTATTTGTATGCAGTGCTGAGACTCAAACCCAGTGTCTCACACATGCTAGGCAAGTGCTCTAACACTGAGTGACAACCCCAGCCCAGCAATATGTTTTATTGTTAAGCCACAATTATGGAGTCTAATGGCAACATATCTTCCTACAAACTATTCCTTCAAAATCTTAAGTTATATCTATAAAAAGAATGTATTGTCTAAATATTAAAGTAATGGGAGCATTTGATATGATATTCTAAGATTACTGTGGTCTACTGCCTTAATGATTTATTGAGAGCCCTTTGTTCTCTCCCATGTGATCCAAATCCATGATGCTTCCTGGTGTCAAAATTGCACATATTAGGCTAGGAATGTAACTCTAATAGAGAGTTTGCCTAGCATTCATGAGGCCTTCGGCTCAATCCCCAGCATCACCAAAAAAAAAAAAAAAAACAACAAACAAACAAACAAAAAAAACACACACAGATTTATATATAAGTAAAACAGAATATTTTGACACGGACTCCAAAAGACATCAGGTGATGATGCACTAAAGTCAGAAAAATCTGCAATGTGACTGGAATAGCTTTGTTACTGTCCTTTAAAATATTCCTCTCTGGGCCTCTCTCTCATATAGAGAGATGGCCTTTATTTGTCAGCTCTGATAAATTAACTCTCGTGTGTATCTCTGCTTGGTCTCCATCTTTCATTTCTCGCTTACCCAGCTCCCATTCCTTGGCTTTTCCTTCACATGGGATTTCTTTTTCATTTTTAAAATTTTTTTTAGTTGCCAATGGACCTTTATTTTATTTACTTATATGCAGTGCTGAGAACTGAACCCAGTGCCTCACACATGCTAGGCAAGTACTCTACCAACTGAGCTTTCCCTCTTTCTTTTTAAAGGCATTAGACAGGTTTATTTAGGAAAATAGATACACATGAAACAGTGGTCTACTTCATGTTTGATATACAGCCCTTGCTGCTCTGCCACTGCAACTTTTAAAAAAATGGACATATTTCTTTCTCTTCCTCCCTCCCTGCTCTTCCCTAATCTCTCCCCACTTGTCCCTTAGGGAAATAGGATTACCTTCCTTCCCCATTTTAGGCATGAGTTATCTGTCCCTGATAACTCACCAAAGGAACAAAGAAATTCAGACTTTGGGGATGGTACCAGAAGATCTCAGAAATGACCTTCTCCCAAATTATCAAGTGAATACCTTCTCCCAAATTATCAAGTGAATTACAACTCTGACGGAGAACGTGGGGGGAAGCCTTTGAATCACTTCTTTGGAACCCCTGCTTCTCGTGGTGGGCAAAATCACAGCCTTTGGGACAGGAGCTCCCTGTGTTTCTCCTTTGCCGGCAAAGCAATAAATCTTCGTTTTTCTTTTTCTCAGAAAAAAAAAAAAAAATTCTTATATGGCTGCTACCCATCAGATCACTTCTTTAATTTTTTTTAAATCTCCCCTCCATTCATTCACAAGCTCATTTGAGAAGAAAAATTACTTTGGGTTTGGACAATAACTGCTTTTAGAAACTGTAAAGTCCAAGCAAAAGTCAGACTATGAAAAAATGGAATTTGTGTCTTCACACAAATTGTCTGGTTAAGTCTTCATTTTAACTGATAAAAAGGCCAACTTTATTCCACATTGCTGTAAAATGATGAAGAAATTATTTGAGGGTGAAGGAAAACAGAAATTAAAAGTCAAATTTTCCTTTCATCCCAAAATAGAGTTTAAAGTATTTTATAATTTTCATTTAAATTATTTAGAGTATCCAAGCCATTCATTAAACAATTTCTTAACAAACAGATTAATATAATGTAAATGATGCAAGTTTTCAGTGGATGAACTATTAGTTCTGGTAGTATTTATTTGTTTCTAATATTGTGACATATAACTTTAAATTAGCTGTGAATTATAAAGATGCAGAAAATCATAAAAACAAATTTGTTTTCTGCATATACCATTGGAATTTCTTTCCTTTCTTCTTTCCTCCTTCCTTCACTTCTTTCTCTTTTTTTAATAGCATATGAGAACAAAAAGTTAAGACCAAGCTCAGGTTATCTCACTAAATGATGATGTAGTCAGAATTAAAAAGCTAATCTATTATGGTAACTTTAGTATGCTTTGCCTTCATTCAAGTTCATATATGGACTTGGATGGGAACTATCAGTTCTGGAAATTATATATGGATTAAAGACTTTTTATTTTATTATTATCATTATTTATTTATTTATTTATTTGGCACACTAGGGATTGAACCTAAGACCTCATACATGCTAGGCAAGTATGCTAATGCTGAGGTACATCCCCAGTCCTTTTGGAAATTTTATTTTGAGACAGAGTCTCACTAAGTTGCCCAGGCTGACCTCAAACTTGAAATCCTCCTGCCTCCACCTCCCAGAGAGTAGAATTACAGGTGTGCACCACTGTGCCCTGCTCAGACTTTCTTTTCCAGGTACACTTCCATTTTCTTTGCCTTCTATGTCTGACAACTGAAAAATCATAACATAGAATGATTATGGAATAAAATCAACAAAATAAAGCACTGTTTTGATGTGGCCATTTTCATGAGGATATATCAAAGTAGGTTGTTGAAGATCCATGAAAATGGGTTTCTATAGTCATTCATATTAAATGAGCACTTTATTGCAGTAAATATTTCAAATGACAACATATGAATAAAAAAACTTGGTGCATTAGGTTTTTTAAAGACATAAATTGCAAAGAAATAATTAATAATTTTACTACATAAAAAATTAACTTTCCTAGATTGAAAGACATCATAAAAAGAATAAAAAGACAAACCTTGACTTACAACACATACAGAATTAGTATCTAAATATCTTTTTGAAGTTCATAAAAATCAGTAACAGCTGGGCATAGTGATGTACATCTGTAATCCCAGTGGCTCAGCAGGCTGAGGCAGGAGGATCATGAGGTCAAAGCCAGCCTCAGCAACTTAGTGAGGCCCTAGGCAACTCAGTGAGACCTTGTTTCTAAACAAATACAAAAAAGGGCTGGAGATGTGGCTCAGTGGGTATTATTTAGTATTGGGTTTAAGCCCCAATACCAAATAATAATAATAATAATAATAATAATAATAATAAAAAGTAAATTAAAAATTTAAAAAATCAGTAGCAAAGATAAAACACAATTCAATTTAAATACTTTCTTTTGACAGTATACATTTTTCAAATACTTTGATAAATAATTTGATATTATGAGCTGGTCTTGGTGGTATGTGACTGTAATCCCAGGCAGGAGAATTGTAAATTCAACACCACCCTCAGCAATTTAGCAAGATCCTGTCTCAAAATAAAAAATAAAAAGGGCTGAATGTGTAGTTCAGTGATAAAGCACCTCTGGGCTCAATATTTAGTACTGGGAAAAGAATTGACATTATGTAATAAAGTTAAATATATACACACCCTGAGGCCCAGACAATTCTGTTCCAAAGTACTTTATCCAGTACAAAATTCTTATAAATGTGCATGGAAGACTTATCTAGGAAAGTTTACATCAGATAAAAGACCTGGCTGATAAAGCTTGTCTTTACTACATTCTAGTGGTATGAATTTGAGTAGGTTCATCTCCTTAAATATTAAATTCCTCACCTTTAAAGTGAGAACAAGTCTATCTTACAGAGCTCTTATGCAGATCAAAAGAAAATGTACTAGGGATACAGCTTAACACATAATAGTTATCATTTTCATTGTTCAAACTTGCTATCTTTTCTGAAAAGTCTCCATGGCAAAAGCCCTTATTATGTTATCTATCAGCCCAATGAATATTTAAAAAACCCTCAGATTGCCTTCTTTTTAGGCAAGAAAGATCTCCTTCCTATTACTAAAGAATCATGTAGGAGGAAATGAGCTAATTCTTTATCTCTAAAATAAATATAATGCAACTTGATTTGTTGTCTCATTTTATATGTTAGCATGTTAACTTACATAATTTTCTTAAAACCCCACTAAGATCATATAAACTAAAGCCACATGATCATAAAAATAGCATGGTGGGTTTCTGAGTTTATTTGTAGGAATGCAGATTTTTATCAGAGGGTTACAGAGACCTGCTTAGAGTTCTATGGAATAATATCCTCTTTTTATAGCTATGGTATCTTAAGCTCCCAAAGTTCTCCCATCTTGTAGGAATCTTCTTGGCCTTCTGTGGGAAATCATCCCTTTAACTCATTTAGTTGCAATCTTTCAATTCTGTGAATATTTCAACAAAATTGACACAGGTGCATTAAAATAGGTTAGAAATAATAATCTAGAGTTTCTATATTATTATATTAACATTATAATATAGGCACTATATTATAATACAATTATATTATACTTAAATTATTATATAATCAAAATATACTATTATATATTTTATGCTATATTTAAGTTTTTTTTAGGTATTCCACACTGGGGCCAAAGCGACAAAAGAGGTTAAGAAAGCAGAATAGTACAAAAGAAAACAAGATTTCTCGAGTTGTTTCCAATTAAAAAAAAAAAATAATAATAATGTTAGGGAAAAAGGAACCCTTACAGAGCTGTATAACTGTACCAAGCAGTCTCACCTGTCCCACATATGGGTAGGCATCTTCAGAGTCAATACCGTGGTTCTTCTGCACGTATTGGAAGGCATTGGTCATGTAGCCCCCTCCACAGCCATCATTCTCAGACACACAATCCACCAGATTCTGGGGACTCAGATTTAAGAGTCTGCCAGTTTTCTTCTTGAGTTGACCCTCCAGGGCACCCACAGAGCTAAAAGCCCAACAGGAACCACACTGACCCTGAGAGGCATATAGAGCAACTTATGAGTCATTCCTGGTCACACATTCTATATCTTGTATCTACCTGCCTGATGAAATTTCATGCATTTCATAAGTTCTGACACAAACACTGCCATTGTTGTGAGGTCTATCTATTCTCCTTCATTTAACATTTGTTGCATTATTCTATTGCTATTGATGCTATGATAACAGTTATTATGATTAGCTGCCATAGAACAGAGAAAATAGCATACTGGCTTTGGAGGTAGGTCTCCTGGGTTCTAACCCTAGCTTTGCACCCACTAATTATGTGACCTTGGGTAAATTACTAAATCTATATGTGCTTCAGTTTCATCTGGAAAATATGCATAATAGCATACTTAATGGAAGTGTTTTGGGATTAATAGATTTAAGTCATATAATAATTTATAAGTTTCTTACTCATAGTAATCTCTCAAAAAATGCTAGTTATTATTAGTATTTGTTCTGCTAGGTTGCAGTTTTTCTTCTTTCCTGCTCTTTCTAAAATGGAGAATTTCTTGAGGACACAGCTTGTGTCTTAGCCATCTCGAATTTATTGCCCAGCACTGTGATGGGATCCAAGGGGGTGGTATATGTAAATGAGTGTTAAGTCAAGTGTTCATCTTATTGATAACAATCCTCTGTTAAGGTTATGGGAAAGCTGACATTTTCATGCTAATAAGAATATAAAATTGTAAAAACATTTTTGGAAAGGATTCCAAAAACTGTGACCTAGCAATTACAATTTTAGGATTTATTTTGTATAACTATTTCTAACATGTGCACAAAAATACATGCATGAGAATGTTTATTGCAATACTATTTATAATAAGCCCCAGAAGCAACCTAAATTCAAAAATAGGTGATGAGTTAAATAACAGGCTACATTCTCTTAGTATGAGATATACCTTAATTCTTTGTCCCCTCTTCATCGTGTCCTCCTATCTTGACAACAAAGCAGGAGAAAAAGGAACAGATCATGCCAGATTACTTACACATACCCCAAAAGAAGAGTACCTGATTTTTCACAGGAGTGACATAACCTTTCTTTCGATAGTCAATGGAGTCTGGGGCTCTGCCTTCCCAGTCTGGGATGTAAAGGGTGTCATTACTTTGAGAATGAAATGGGGGTACTTTGAGTCCAGTCATCTTCTGAACCACTTCTTCACTGGTCTGAGACAAAGAAGAAAGAAGCCAAGCTTTAGCAGGGAACTAAGGCAAAAATGGCAGGTAGGCCAAGAGCTGAGACTCAACTCACCATATCCCCCAAGTGGTTCATGGCCAATTCATATGTATGGACACCAAGAGAGGCCTCAAGATTATGGATGGAAATATACTTTAGGTTTTTTTCCCAAATTAAACGCCGAGAGATTTCATCCACCTAAACAGAGCATAGTCAGTACTTGCATAGACTGTATGCAAATTTATATAGGTGATATTGTGAAGAAAAGATGCAACTTACAATCACAAGGGGTTTACAATGTACTTGGGGAACTAACTATGAATTATTAAGAGCATGCAAACAGTAAGATGGGAGCAAATCAAACAATACAATGTAAAGCTATGGAGAAATCTATAGAAATATTACTCAGATTAATAGCATTAAATCTGACAAGTCTTCCCAAAAGACAAATATAAGACAGTCACACTACTTTTCTTTTCTTGTGGTACAGAGAATTGAAGCCAGGCAGTTATAAAGCTAGGAAGGATAGGTCTTGATAGATTGTGAGTTGAGGCACCAAAATGAGAATCACATGTTAAGAGTTAGGGGTCAGGTTTGCTTGGTTGGAGTAAAGTACAGTATTTGGATTGAAGAAGGGAGTCTGGAAGCTAAGACAGGAAATCTCAGGTTCCAGCTCTCCTGCCATGCTCCCTTTGGGTTCCCAGGCACCTTGCCATTATACTGTTTCCTGTAGGTCTTCTTCCATAGCTCCCATTGGGTGTCCAGTATCTCCTCAGGATACAGAGCAAAGCTCACCATGGGTAACAGCAGAAGCTTGAGCCCCCACATCCTGGGGAAGGGAATAATTAGGGGAGACACTTCCATTTGGCATAAGTTCACAGCCTGGCTTGGAGTGTGGAAAATAGCTAGAGCCATATTTCCACCAGGTGGCTTAACCTTCTAGAAGTCATAGATGACTCCTTTGAGGCGCTAATCATTTCTCTCACCAGAAAAATGCATGCACACACAACAATCCTAGGGGATTCATGAACCCAAAGATAGAACCCCTTCCTTGGAACCATGTGGCACAGGGAAACTTGGCTCTATAAGGGAGGTCAGCAAGGAACTGAGAGTGATCTTTATATAATAGAACAATGACAAGAAGAGGCTAGGTTTCCATCAGGTGCTGGTACGTAAGTTCTAAGTATTCTGACATAGGGAGATTCAACCAACATTCACATGCACACTTGTACAATCAGAAATGGAGTGGAAATTGGACGAGTGGGTTCAGCATTTGTTTTCTTCATTGTCCTCTACAAGTTTGAAGATGGACAAATTAAGTGCAAAGTGAGAATGGGTTGGAGAATACACATAGGAGAGACTTCCAGCTACATTTTGCTTCCTAATCATTTCTTCAAGGCATTCATTACTTACTTGCCTTAATTCTGAGTTTTCCAGATCTTGTCAGGAGGGGACAAGGGAAAAGTTGATAGCATTTCCTTATTTAACAATGAGATGTTTACTGTCTCCTCACTCTCCTTATGCATTTCTTCTTCCTTGCTCATACCCCCTCCCTCCATAGACCGGAAACTGACCTAATTTTAACCAGATGTTCGTGGGTAGGTTTTCTTTTCTTTTTCCAACAGTGAAAAATCTCTGTGACTACCTCACAGTGCAAAAGGATCAGAATCAAAGTTAGAGTGCAGGATGGAAAAGCATTTTCAATGATGATTAAATCCACAGCATTTCAGAAGTAAAGTTTCACTCCTTTCTTGAACTGGCTTAATTGCAGATCTTTCAGTTCTAAGAAGTTTGCAGTCTCTAGGAATTCTAAGACTTGCATGAACTAAATGTATAGTCCGTTTTTACGTAATCTTTACAAATCCGTGTTAAATTTCTAGCAGAGCATTTAATAGCTAGAGAGTTAAAAAGTTTGGGGATGTCTCAGAGCAGAAATACCCAGTTACTGGTACCACTCCTCCTCATTCTCTGTAGTCAATTAACCCTTTTGGGCAAAGCAAAAACGCTCTAGAAGCTATTTTAAAGAATGGGTAAAGGATTCCCTTTTTTTTTTTTTTTTTCTTTTAAGAACAATCATGTATGCATATATACGAATCATACAAGGAATCCTAAAGATTTCCAGACAGATTTTATTTGTCAAGGAGAAGAACTAAGAAGGGCATGTTTTCAATATGCAGAGATTATACAGTTTACTTTCATCTCCAACTCACTACATCCCTAATACTCTCAAAATAAAGTGGCAGAAATGATAATCTAAAAAAATCTAGAAAGTCAAAAATTTTACCTGCTGCTGGGAATCGGCTGTCTGGGCTCCTTTCAGACAGGAAGTGTCGCTAATGTGGGTGGAAGACTAGGAGTGCTAGATTTATTCCATCAGGATTGCGGAAGTCAGCTCTAGCGGTTGGCTGGAAAATTTGGATGAGGAAAGGAGGCGGGAATAGAAATGTTGAGAAAAGGGGGGTTAGGGTGAAAGGAAGGAGGAAGCAGATTTGCACATTTCTGTGTGCAGTGTAGTATGCTAGGGTGGAGAGCTGCTAGGTAGGTGTTGAGTTTCACATGACTCTCTGGAGGCAGAGAAAAGACATCAGTACACACTACTCTAGTAAAGGGGCTTACCTTTTCCTTTGCTGGGGAAATGGATGTATAACCCTGATCTTCCCTCACCTTTCTTTAAAATCCTTTAATATTAAGGGATTGCATCGTTCCCTACCCTTGTTATGACCCACCTCCCTAAAATCCTAACAGTGAAACCTATTTTCAAATTTGTGTCTGATCCTCACCTCTGGGATGATGGAAGAAACACAAAAGGCTAGAAATAAATAACATAAGGAGAGACATAAGCTTCAAAATTGTATTTTATGATATTGTTGGTTAAAAGGCATCATGTTTTCCAGGCGGGAATAGCTTTCCTAGCCTAATGTGATTTTGCAGAGGGAGGATCTGCCCAGAAAGTTAGATGGAACTGGTTCTAAAAGGCAGCAGAAACAATACTCCTAGTTATTTATAACACTTGAATCAACGGACTGATGGACTCACATGTGACACTATTGCTAAAACTCTCAGATGGTGGATGTCTGATGAGCATGTCTCAATTATTAAAATCCCCAATCCAGTCACATGAGCTTCTCCAAATGCTTCCCCCAAATCCAGGCATGTGACAGATCATAAGAGTCTAATTCAGTTACCAAACCACACCCCCAAGATCCATTTTCTTCCATAAACAGATGTGGGGAAAGAGGGTCACTGGAATAGAAAGGATAATACATGGGATTCAGATTCAGTTCTTAGCTGGATTCCACGCACTTACTCTCAAGAACTCAGGCTTATTGTGCCTCTGGATTTTAAAAGTGGCTAATGAACCACATGGTCCTAGGGAAAAACCAGGCCCAGACTTGAACAGTTTAGATTTCCCAATTCCTCACTCCCCCCCGCCCCCCCAAAGACATACTGGAAAAGGCATCCATATATGTGCCCTAATGGTTTCAAGTCCTAACTCTTCCCCTTTCCCCCACAGGCTTAGGCAACTCCACCCCCACCCAATGTGGTCAGAATGTCTCTGATAAATTTTACTCAAAATGTGTCAAGATCAGGAGGGCAAGTGAGGAGGAGGGGTGCTGAGTGATCAGGGCCCTATGATTTCTGATTCCTGAAATTAAAGACTCACACTGTGCTTTATGCTTGTGTGTTTGAAGCTCAAGCAGTGGCTCCCTTTAGTTGTGGGTGTCTGTTGGTTTCTGACCGGAAAGGAATAATAAAGCCGCAATCAAGATCACACAACACAAGAAATTTTTACAAAAGGAAAAAATATTTTGTTTTAAAATATTTGCTACATGTCGTCATTTTTGCCACTGTAAGGCTTAGCACAGATGCCAGCAATACAGAAATGGCCAACAAAGGAAAAAAAAAACAATCAAAAATAAAACCCTGAAGGAAAAGCAGAAACAAAGCCCCCAGAGCATCTTCTCCCTGCCCTCCCCTTCCCCCAAGGCCCTATAATAACTGTACAATATTATAGTCCTGATCACATTTAAAAACAGTCGATTATTAAAAAACAAGGATTCCATTGGAAACTCAACTTTTTGGTTTTGTAAATTGTGATATAAATATATATGTATACTGTATGTGTGCACATAGAATAAAAAAATAAACTGCCTCCTTTCCATCCCACCATCTGGCACCAGACTGAAGACAAAAGGGAGAGAAACCCAGGAAATGACATTCCCTCAGCCTCTCCAAGGCCACCTTTGATCCTCAGTCCTCTAAGAATACACTTAATATGTCTTCACTTCTTATTTCCGTCTTGCACTTAGATAACAACTGAAGCCAATTAAAAAACAAAAAGGCTAATATATATGACTTACCTGAGGAAGGCAAAGGGTGAAAGTAGTAGCCTATTTTTATATGGCTATAATGACCAACTAATCCTGCTGGGATAGGAGTCCAGGCCCCACCTAACACATGGAGTTATCATACTTGCATTCTAAAGCAAAATCCAATCTCAAGATTGGAAAGGGAACAGAGAGTTAAGAACTATAGGCCCAGGAGGAACCTAAATTTGTTTCTTATTATATGGAATATTTTGAGGATGACATGGAAGAGGCTACTTTACAATAGGACTTTGTATTTGGTTTTCATTCCAACAGTGAGGATTTTCACTGGGACTAATCCAAGAAGTTGAGTTTCCATGCAGAAAATAAGCTCCATAGAATACACATAATGTGTGATTCTGACAGAAAATTGCAGCATTATCTGTATGGCCAAGTCTGGGGTTTCTGGAAGCATTTGTCAGCCTATTTCAGTAATGTTTGCCAATCTTCCAGATAAGGTGAGAGCACCAAAAGCAGGAGTAATCCAGCTTTATCACTGAACACGTTTGAGAGACCAACCATATTAACAGAAGACTTTACCTATAGTTGCATATTAGCTGAGCACAGATATAAGTGCAGCAAAGACATTTATTTAAACACTCTTTGGCTGCAATACTAAGTGAAAATACCTGGAAGATTTATCTTCTTAGAACTCATTGAAGAGCACAAAGATAAAAATCTGACAAATTTTGCATAACTCCCTAATAGGGAGAAAGAAATACAGAAACGTGTGCACCACATATATACACACACTGAGACACATATACATACATAAACACTCACTCAATCTCACGTTTCTCTCCAGAGGAATTGCTCACAGGTAGCAGAAAGGGCCTATGTTCACTTCCCAAAGCCCCATATATACCTACCATGTTTCATGTCCTCAAATATGAGGACATTTCTCCTCTCCTTGAATTTCTTTCCAAAAAAGCCACAGTGTATCCAAGGCAAGTAATGGACATCAGGTTCTAACCTGCACCTTAACCCGAGCACAAATCATTGTTGTTTAGCTTCTGGTCAAGAGACATAAGAAAAGGCATTCTAACCTTGCCTAGCCTCAAATTTTCAAAGGGTCATAAAAGCCTTGGGGATTCATTTCATTTCTTCTATAACTGTTACCTCAGAGAGGCAAGAGAAGGGGAGGGCAAGGAAATCCCAGAAGGGAAAGGGGTATCCCTTAGGGGTGAGGGAAGGGAAGGGGGAGGAACTTTTATTCTGTTTACAAAAGTTTTGCTTTTAAAAAACAAACAGTGATTTTTCTCCCCCACCCCTTATCCTCACCCCAATAGTTCTATTCTGAAAAGGAGGGAAACATAGTTAGATCAGGAAATTCTTCATTGTTGTAACTGTTGCTTTGGTCTCCCAGCATGGACAGCATCTCCTACGGAGAGAAAATTTAAAAAATTAAGATTGGGTTACATACCCTTACGTTCACTGAGCTGCCTCCTAATATTCCTCTGTACTCTATCCCTGACCCCAAAAGGTCTCTGCTGTGCTAAGTTTTCAGCCTTCCTTATTCTCAGCAACTGGTTCCTTTAGATTACAGACTTTTTTTCCTGGTCCAGTCTCTGTCTTCCCCTACACTTGCACATTTTCCTTTTTCTAGTCTTCAATATTTTCAAGAGGAGAAAAATATGCTTGCCACATTTCATACACCCACTAAAGACATAAACGGAGTGTCTCTCATCCTATTTGTTTTCCACCAAAAGCTGTTTTGCCTTCTTCAATCTGTGCTTTACATTAGCCCTTCCTTTGTCTGAGGCAGGCGGATTGCAAGTTGATGACCTGAGCAATTAGTGAGACCCTGTCTCAAAATAAAAAATTCAAAAGGCTGGGGCTTTGGCTTCACTGGTAAACCACCCCTAGATTCACTCCCCATTACAAAAAAAAAAAAAAAGCAAAGAAGCAGTTTGTCACTGATCTGTTTTCTAGTACTATGAAACATGAGTACGTGAGCTAAGGAATAGTTTCTCTTGATAAATAAACTTTGAACAAATATTGAAAAAAGAAAAGAAAAACTGAAATTATCCCAAAATTTTATCCATGGCTCTCTCGTGGTAGAATTATGACTCTTATTTAGAAGCTGAGGAAATGTTATTTCATGTCTTTGAAAACTCCACTCATTCTGCAGAAATAGACCTTTAGAGCTATATTTAGTATTTCTATTTCATACACTTAAAAAAATTGTTCTGCCTATTTTAAACCCAAAGCTACTATGAAATAAAGATATAGATCTTCATGGATGAGCTAAAATAATTTTCTTTGGCATCTTTGCATGGTGCTTCACATAACTATTTTGTCTAGTCTCTTTAAAGGATATCACACTAAGTTCAAGATGTTCTCAATTACTAACACTAAACCCTCCCTGTCTTCTCCCATACACCTTCTGCCTACACATCAACCAAGGCATGCTTCCTTCTCCATCTTTCCTTCTTGACCCTCTCTCTCTTTCCCATTTTCTGATTTTCTGAAGTCTTCACCCTCTCACCTGGAAGACCTCAGGCTGGCTAGGTTGTTGTGCTGAAGGCTGCTGAACATGTTGCTCGCTAGAACTTGAACGATGATGAGGTTGCTGGCCTTGCCACTGTGGCCAGACACTCACACCCTCTGCTGTCCGTGTCTGGAATTGTCCTGCAGTCTGTCCAGTCTCAGGAGCTAGAAACACAGTAAGAATAAACAACTTCAATCTACTAATTTTCTACTGGAGAAGAAAAACTAGTACATAGCTAAATGCAAGTCAGTAATTTCACTTGGGTTTTCTTCTGTCCTTGAGTTTATCAATGTCTTTTCTATTTCAAAATCCAGTCGCCAATTAACTTTTCTTCTTTAGATAGCTCTTTCCAAAGAGCACTTTGGTTATTTAGATTAAATATGCATGC